TCACGTTGAAACAATGTTTTATTAAAAATGTATATAAAAAAGAAATTGGCACAGAAATTTTTTAATTTATCTCGAGTTGTAAAGCGTCATGAGAGAGGTGAGTTATTATTCAACGTAGACAAAAGCATACGCGAACGTGAAGTATCGCTATATTGACAGGCTTTATGGTTGGTTAGCCAAAGCGCCGGATTTCAGGAACAACGAAAAATTAGGTTCAAAAGTAATTAATTGTTTGCTTTACAAGAAATGGTAGGATTTAAAAAATGTTATAAAGCATTCTAGATTTTTTCTATTTTTAATTATATAAATTTATTTATTATTTAAATCTACAAATATTGCAGTATATACTATTAATTAGTATAATTAATGAGTATAATTAATTATTAGTAAATATTTTAGATTTATGCTGATAGTATTGTTGGAGTCACTTGTACGAGAAGCTGCGCAGTAACAACACTCGTTCACACTGATACCTCGCCAATAGTCAGTGGGAATGACTTGGGACCACTTTCGAACTTTCGATTCAGTCGTCTTGGAGGATTTTTCGGTAGGGTTGAAAGCTTAATTTGGATGCTTGATAATTTTTCAGTTCAAAAAGGAATCGGAATCCTTGTTGAGCGCCGTATTTTAGAACCGTTTACTTGGAGAGGTCTTATCATTGTAATGTAATTCATTTGAACAATGGCGAAAAGGAGGGAAAATTCAAAAGGTGTGGTTGAGATGGGAAGTTAGTGTCCGAGTGGATTGAAGTCACGATAGCTCAAGTGGTAGAGTAGCGGCGTACTAAGCCGAAGGTCGTGGGTTCGAATCCCGCTCGTGACACTGACTTTTTTATCTCAACTAAAAACCTTAATTAATTGAAAGATATTGATTGGTCAAGCAGATAACTAAAACTAGTGAATTTAATAAGTAAAAATGTAATATACCTTCACTAAAGCTCTCCGCCATTTCATTTGTCGCCGAGAATCAAATAGATTACACGACATTTGAAAAATGGCAAAAAAAATAGAAAATTCAAAAGGTGGGGTTCAGATGGGAAGTTAGTGACTGAGTGGGTCGAAGTCACGATAGCTCAGTGGTAGAGAAGCGCCGCATCTAGCCGAAGGTCTTAAGTTCGAATCCCGCTCGTGATATTAATTTGTCAAGCGGACCACGAAAAATAGCGAATTTAATAAGTTAAAATGAAGTGAACTTCACTAAAGTTCTCCGTGGCCATTTCATTTGTGGCCGAGAATCAAATAGATTACACGACATTTATTGTCTTCTTGAATACAATATCTTTTTAATTAAATTGTAGTTAAGAGGAGCACATGGCTTTGAACGGTAAAACAAATCAATTTTCTGTTTTTATTCTTATAAAAATATCACAATTTTCCTGACATTTTCACACCAAAGACGCACAATTCAGGCAAGTAGAAGTATTTTTATTTTATTTTTATACAATACAACTAACCTCCTATCTCAACCCCACCTTTTGAATTGTCCCTCCTTTTTGCCATTTTTCAAATGTCGTGTAATCTATTTAATTCTCGGCGACAAATGAAATGGCCAGGGAAAGCTTATTAAAAACTCATTAAATTCACTAGTTTTCGTGGTCAGCTTGACCAATTAATATCTTTCAATTAATTAAGGTTTGTAGTTGAGATAAAAATGTCAGTGTCACGAGCGGGATTCGAACCCACGACCTTCGGCTTGATACGCCGCTACTCTACCACTTGAGCTATCGTGACTTCGATCCTCTAGGGCACTAACTTCCCGTTTCAACCCCACCTTTTGAATTTTCACTCCTTTTTGCCATTTTTCAAATGTCGTCGAATCCAACGTCGGCGACAAACGAAATGGCGTCATTCATTTTTACCTCAACTAAAAACCTTAATTAAGTGAAAGATGTTAATTTGTCAAGCGGACCACGAAACTAGTGAATATAATAAGTTTAAATGAAGTATACCTTCACTAAAGTTCTCCGTCGCCATTTCATTTGTCGCCGAGAATCACACAGATTACACGACATTTGAAACATGGCAAAAAGGAGGCAAAATTCAAAAGGTGGGGTTGAGATGGGAAGTTAGTGTCCGAGTGGATCGAATTGACGATAGCTCAAGTGGTAGTGGCGTATTACGCCGAAGGTCGTGGGTTCGTATCTCGCTCGTGAATCTGACTTTTTTTATCTCAACTAAAAACCAAAATTAATTGAATTGTAATGTAATTAAATATTCGTTTTCCATGTCCAAGTTTGTTTGTAAGTTTAGTTATTTGTAAAAATTGATAAGGTCGTTTTTTTTTTGTCATTTCAGTCTTTCGTGAGGATTCCAAGTCAATCGTTTATCCATGAAAAGTCGCACATAAAGCACAAAATCAGCGGTACACGATTGTGGTCCATTTATAGTCACTGAGTGATAAAAACTTTTTCGAGAGGAAAATTTATCCGAACGCTTTTCGTTAGATATAGTTTCCTTTTCTATTTGTAAACGTTATTGTTAGGTGTTATAAGAGTCGAGTGTTTACGGAGAGGTCCAAATTACTTATAAGTATCGCTGTATGATCAGCGAATGTATGTGCTGAAATGTTATTGTGTCAAAATGTCTGTAGTGTGTATTGAGAAAAGAAATGGACTAAGTATGCTTCCCTGAGGTTCACCCGGCCTAATGTGTACATAAGGTGAAAATTCATATCCCTTACGAAATAACCATAATCGCTCTATCAGATATGATCTGAGTTTGGGTTGGATTGTGGTAATTTTTTTCAGGTTTCAAAGCAATTTTGTTTTGGTTCAAGGAAGAGCTGTTTGAAGCTGTTGACTTGTCGAGGGAAATGAGCGGAATCATAACTGATGATGGGCATAACATTAAAATTTTAAATTATGGGCACTAATATTCGGAGGACGAATTTTTCAAGAATTTTCCAAGAATAGATAGTAGTCTAATGCACAGATAGGAACTAAGAAGATCAGCAGGTTTATTTGGTTTTTAAAGGGTTTTTAATTTTTGAGAACTTCCATTTCAAATTACAAATTGTCTAAACAAATTTGTTGTTTACATGCATTTCTTTCTTTTCTCAGCAAATTGTAAGGTGATATTTATCGATACATTTTATATTTTAATCATCCAATTTTTAAGAAAATTAACAAATTAAGTTATTTAAGTTCAGTAGCTATTAAGTTTTCGTTAAAGTTCAGTTTAGCTTAAATATCAAGAATAAATCCCGCAGGTTCAACAACCCTAGCGTGCCTGTAAGTACCGGTTAGGAGGAAAGCCTTTTCCAATTGCCACCAAGAAGAATGCCCTCGTAATTTAATAACTATCTTTATTTTTACATACCGAAATTGATTTTATTTGCACAAAATTATAACGAAGTTTATAAATTATACAAAATTAGTCGTTAACATAATATAAATATGACTAAGTTTTTATCTATTTTACGAAAAAAATGGCGCAAGCACATGAAATTTTTAATATATTTGTCGGCTTTTATTTTTCATTATTTACAGGTATTTTATTGTGGGTTTTTTTCAGTAAAATGCTGCAAATAAATTCTCTTCCGTCGAACGTCGTTTTACCACTAAGCTACTTACGTAAAGCCGTTGGGGTAATTATTTTTAAATTTTTAACCCGCAGTCGAATTACAATTTTAAAGACATTTTCGAAGGAATTCCATTAGGAAAATTGAAGTAAATCATAAATGGAAATAGTCTTAATTTTTTAAATTCACGTGCAATTGTGTTTCGAGAAAATGTTTAGTTTAATTCCACTAGTTTCGTGGTCCGCTTGACCAATTAATATCTTTCAATGATTAAGGTTTTTAGTTGTGATAAAAAAAGTAAGAGTCACGAGCAGGATTCGAACCCACGACCTTTGGCTTAATACGCTGCTACTCTACCACTTGAGCTACCGTGAATTCGATCCACTCGGACACTAACTTCCCATCTCAACCCCACCTTTTGAATTTTTCTTCCTCTTTGCCATTTTTCAAATGTCGTGTAATCTATTTGATTCTCGGCAACAAATAAAATGGCCACGGAGTGCTTTAGTGAAGGTATACTTCTTTTAAACTTATTAAATTCACTAGTTTCGTGGTCCGCTTGAGCAATTAATATTTTTTAATTAATTAAGGTTTTTAGTTAAGATAAAAAAATTCAGTGTGACAAGCGGGATTCGAATCCACGACTTTCGGCTTGATACGCCGTTACTCTACCACCTGAGCTATCGTGACTTCGATCCACTCGGATACTAACTTCCCCCGTTCGATTCCCCTTCACTAACTTTTTTATCTCAACTAAAAACGTTAATTAATTGAAAAATTAATTGGTCAAGCGGATCACGAAACTAGTGAATTTAATAAGTTTAAATGAAGTATACCTTCACTAAAGCTCTCCGTGGCCATTTCATTTGTCGCCGAGAATCAAATAGATTACACCACATTTCAAAAATGGCAAAAAGGGGGGAAAATTCAAAAGGTGGGATTGAGATGGGAAGTTAGTGTCTAAGTGGATCGAGGTTACGATAGCTCAAGTGGTAGAGCAGCGGCGTATTTAGCCGAAGATCGTGGGTTCGAATCCCGCTCGTGACATTGACTTTTTTATCTCAACTAAAAACCTTAATTAATTGAAAGTTTAGTTTAATTATAAAATAAAACAGCCTCTGCATCATAGAGGACCTTTTGTGAAACTGTAACGAATGTATTAAGGTTCTAATTTCATGAGAGAATTGCAGAATGACTACATGTATTGTGTAAAATCTTTAGAATTCAGAGAAACAAGTGAGTGTGTGTGTGTGTGTGTGTGTGTGTGTGTGTGTGTGGGTGTGTTTGTGTGTGTAATTTGTTTTCTTCCCTACCGATAACAACCCAGGCTTTAATTACTTCGAAACAAGGTAACACATCGTCAGTCATTGCTAATTCAACACCGACTCATTAGTCAAAACACCAAATATAATTTTACAAAACTATTATTCGTTTAATTACGTTCCTCACATAATCGTAATTAATTGAAAAACCGCACTGACCTGTTAAGAAGCATTAGATCGATAAGGTCTTGCTGTTCTTGGCTCTGAATAGAAGCGAGATGTCCACCTTTGCTGATACAGTCTTCTTCTGCATCTCTCCACGGCAGTTTGGGCCCTTCGACGACGAGAAGGCAGAGGACGGAGTACCTCACCCAGGGCCAGGAACATCCTCCGATCAGTGATTCTTCCCCAATTGCCTCGTACCTGAAAAATTATCATTTCTTTTGATGTTCTCTTTGAAACTAGAAGTGAAAGATGAATATATCTAGCGCAATGGTGATATTTTTAAAGATTTCAAGAAAGTAGAAAAGAAGAGATCACCCCTGCATATAGAAGCCCTCTCTTTCCTTTTCTATTGTATTCTTTCTATAATCCTCCCTATATTTATCCTTCTCTCTTGCTCTTTCTCTTTTCCAGGTTTCCTCCTTTTCTTAATTTCTCATTTAGATTCAATCCACCATGATTCTCTCTCTCTCTCTCTCTCTCTCTCTCTCTTTCTCTCTCTCTCCCTCTTCCTCTCCCTCTCCTTCTCCCTCTCTCCCTCTCACCCTCTCTCCATCACTCTCTCTCTCTTTCTCTCTCTGTCTTTCTCTCTCGCTCTCACTCTCTCTCTCTCTCTCTCTCTCTCTTTCTCTCTCTCTCTCTCTCTCTTTCTCTGTGTGCCTTTCTTTCTCTCTCTTCCTTCTCCCCCTCTCTCTTTCTGTCTCTTTTTCTGCCTCGGTCTCTCTCCTTCTACTTCCCCCTCTCACTCTTTCGATCTCTCTCTCTCTCTCTCTCTCTCTCTTTCTNATATATATAAATATTGTATTTCTCTATATATGTATTTATATATTTATGCAGGGTGTATCAACTTCTATAGTCCACCCACATAATTCGCAAACGATGTACTTTATAAAAGGTCTAATACCTAAATCTTAAGTTAATTTTGGCTAAGAATCGCGGTGGTAACAGATTTAACATAAATTTTCATGTAGCTGAGAAATGACACTAACTTTCTTATTTTAAATGAGAATCCCACATTTTTATTGTACAGTTTGATTCTAGAGCCTATTTTATGCCACTTTCAATGTAAAGGAAATTTTGATAGGATCGACAATTTCTGAGTTAGGCCCGACGGAAAACCAGGAGTTATGCTTTTTGTAACAGCAAGGTGGCCCTGCCGTTTATTTAAAAAACGATTAGTATTAGTAAGTTAATTTAGGATAGGAATCATCTCAGAACAGGGCTGGGATCATGGAGTTGCTTGTCCGCTTAGCTTATATTAATATTTGGAAAAAAAAACACTTTTTACAAAAAAGGATATTTTTAGTCATCATCCAGTTCATTTTATGTCAGGAATTCTTCATTGGTGGCCTTTTCTGTTATTACTGAGGGGAATTCTCTGCAAGCCGCAACAATTCATTGTTCCAATTCTTGGACGTCAATGATGGAAATGGATTACTCTTCAATGCCCCTAAAGAAAATCCTCCAAGTCTGGCGATCTAGGAGGCCAAGAAAGAGATTTTGTGCCCCAATCCATCACCATGTTCACGTCCATTGGCAACGGCGCGACTGTTGTGAGCGGGCAACCGTCTTTTTGGAACCACATCTTTAGCCTGGTTTATAGCGGAATTCTCTCATTGAATATCATCTATGATAGAATGATATCGCTCCCGTTGAGAGTTCCGCTAAAAAAAATGTGGTCCAATAGCTGAGTGCCTAGCAATCCGCACCAAACATTAGTCGAATTGATTGTTTGATAACACGTTTGAATATTCCAACGAGAATTTTCTGTTGCCCAGAAAACACTGTTGTGCCTATTAAAAATCCCATTATTTGAGAATTTCGAGATGTCAGTCCACAATAATCAGTTCAGCAGGTCCGTTCCATGTCCATGACAATCAAGATTCGTGAAATGGAATCCAAACGCCTCGTTCGATCTCCCTCGCAAATGCCTTGAGAGATTAGCACGATAAGGACGAAAATTATTTACTTCCAATATTCGCCAGACCGTCCTAAGCTAGTCCTAGTCATACAATTTCACTGCCGTCATTCTGTTATTGTATTCTTATAATATAAGAAAAAAGAGATGAAAAGAAGATTAGGATATTTTTATCAGATTTATGTAACTTTTCCTTATGATTTAACTGGAGTAATCAGGAGGATTACACAAAGGAGTTTTTTTGTAACCAANGAGTTTGTCTACACAATTTTCATACTTATGAATATATTTCGTTTTCAATATATTCAAGCTAGGAATAAAGTCATACAATTTCACTGCCGTCATTTTGATATTTTATTTTTATAACATAAGAAAAAAGAGATGAAAAGAAGATTAAGATATTTTTATCAGATTTATGTAATTTTTCCTTAAGATTTAACTGGAGTAATCAGGAGGATTACACAAAGGAGTTTTTTTGTAACCAACTTTTATTGCTTATAAATTTACGGCTGTAATTTAAAACTTTTAACCTAATGTTCTACATTCACAATCTATTATAACATAATAAAACTTATTTTATTAATAGAAAATGCACTTTCATGCTCCCTACTTAATTATAGTTGTGTAATAAAAAACAAAACATTATTTAATACTCAGAAAATAAATAAGAGAAAGTCCAAATAAGTTTCGCACAATTTCATGTTGTTCTTCTTTAAATATTGCCAAAAGAAGTGTAAACAACGTCAAGAATAATATTATTAATTATTATTAAAAGCTTTAAAAATTACAGTCGCGTTGCAAATAACTAAATAATTTACCGGGTTCCAACCCACGACCTTCGGCTCGATACGCCGCTACTGCACCACTTGAGCTGTCGTGACCTCGATCCACTCGGACACTAACTTCCCATCTCAACTCCACCTTTTGAATTTTCGAGTGGGTTCGAATCCCGCTCGTGACACTGACTTTTTTATCTCGACTAAAAGCCTTAATTAATTGAAAGATATTAATTGGCCAAACGGACCACGAAAACTAGTGAATTTATAAGGATATTTCAATTTATTAGGAAGAGGATTCACGATTTTAAGAATATTAAGGAATATTCCGATTTTGTCTAGCTCTCTCGCTCCGTCCTTTTTGTTATGTGTTTTAATTTATATATTCATAGTTATGTGTTGTCGTTTCACATATTCCAGAATATGTACAGATTATTATCAATTGTAGGTAACTCTTTCCATTTCTCTGATGACTTCGTCGATTGGTAATCTTGTAACATATCTGTAAATAAAAATTAGTTTGACAAACGTAAAGATATTAAGAAATAATAAATCTATGAATAAATAGAAACGGTGAAAAGTGGTGTTATAAATTAGGAGTTGTTTAATGAAAATTTAGTGTTCTCTTGGTGAGTACTATGGAATTCTTTGAACCCATTTTCTCAAGTTGTTAAACTTTTCTATGTCAGGGTCAAGGAGCAAGGGTCAATTGTATATTTATCAATTTAGTTTAAATTTAATTTGTTAAATTAGTTTAATTAGATGGTTTTAATTTTCGTAAAAATAAGAACGAGTAGGACAAATGTGTACCTAGTGTTTTGGATCTGATTGTAAGAAGAAGGCAATATCAGTAGCAAAAATTTCGTTAAATGTCCAATTATAATTCAAATTTTTAAGAAACGTCAAATTATTACGTCCAAAGACGGGTTCCATCAGAAAGCCATTCTTCTGTAAAGTTGCTTTTTTATGTTTTGGAACATTTTTCTCAGGAACAATACAACGAATTACTTTCAATATTTTTCATTACAGTGAATAGCCGAACTACGGAAATTTAATCAAACATCAACCACAGAAATGTTAATGTTGTTTAATGTAATAATCACCTACTTCTATTATCGTTCTATCCATTAGGTGTTGTTATTCTATAATATTGGAACCTTTTGCTATTCCCCCCTTTTGTTTTGCTATTTTCCAGTCGGAAAGGGTCAGATACAATAGGGTGAATCGAGATTGGAAGAAACCCACTCAGAAGAGCTAAAACCACTCAGAAAAGCTAATCCTCAGATTATGTGTATATAATGTTATATTGTATATGTATATATTATGTTTGTATAATGTAAATGAAAGAAAGGTTCACGAGATCTAACTTAGCATGGTTAAATAAAACGTTTAATCTCATATATCTTTTTCTGTACCCCTCCCTCTTGCTCTCTCTCACCGTATCTTTTTCGTCTTTTCTTTCTTTTTTTAATCCTTATTTACATTCCATCCACCATCTTTCTTTTTCTCTCTCCCTCCCTCTCTATCTACCTATCTCGCTCTCGCTCTTTTTTATCCCTTTCTCTCCCGTTTTGTCTTTTTCCTAACCTTTATGTTTCTTTCAATTGATTTATATTTTAGAAATTAAATTAAATAAAGAAAATTATAAACAATTCTTTTAATAAGTTCTCTTTCTATCTCTTTCTATCTATGTCTCTTTCTCATCTCATAGTTTTCTTTAGGGTTCCCTTATTACACCGCTTTCGTCTCTAATTCTAGGAAGAACGACGATAATGTAATTAACAAAAATAGAAGAGTCAAGTGTCGGTAGAGAAAGCACAGAAGAAATGCTTGTTGAGAGTTTAAGATCGTCCTTAGGCTTAAGGATAAAGGAAAGTGTAAATAGAAAAATAAGACCCTCAAGAAGCTAATAAAGTTGTCCCGATAAAGAAAGTCAAAGAATAGTCAATATTTGTGAGAGACAAACACAACTTTCAATCTGATATGTTCTTGACGTTTCTAAATATTCCTTCCGTTATTAAAACAAGTCCGATAATACAAATAAATTATTAACTAAAATTAATCAACTAAACAAAAATTGTTCTTACGTGTATTTGTAAGTGTTTACCGAGGATCAATATACATGTATAATAAACTAAAAAGTCTGTGTAATTCAATAAATTATATAAACATCAACCATATCTTATGTCAAACTAAATGTAATGTTTTTATAATAACTAGACATTTTACTAGCAAAATTGAAAATGTTTTATAGTTGGTTTTTTATAATTTTGTAATAATAACTTAAGTTGCGATAACTGCTAAATTTACGTTATTATAATTTTGATAATGTACATGGATACGTTGGGTAATTTATTTTAATAGGAAAATAATTGAACACTATTGCTGCTGAGTAAAATGTATAATTACGGAATATTAAATAATTTTTTTTTATTGGCCTTATGATCTTGCATATTAGCCATGGTACGAATTCTTGTGTGTTCAAATTGGGGGTTATCGGAAAAAAG